CACTTGTATTAAAGCAATATCAAGATCTACTTTCCACAACTCATTTCTTTCTGAATCTTCATTTTGTGTTCTTTAATGTCACTTGTCTGCCAGATTATTCTAGGGCCTTTGAAGTGCAGAAAGATGGTCTATTTTCAGGCTTTACTCCCATGCATAGTTCCAGCATGCACTGCAAGTCTTTAGGGGTGGTATTTGTCTCCTAAAAATATGGAGCTTGTAACAGAGTACTATAAAATAATGAATAAAATAGCAGAGATATTCAAGACTAAAAAAATAAATAATGCATCATATATGTAATGTTGAGACTACTAAAGAGGATCATTTAACAAGCAAGCACTGCTTTTTTTTTTAATTTAAATTTCAGTACCTGATTCTTTGAAGGGACGTGTAAGTGCATGGAGCAGCAGAGCTGACCATTTCTCTTCCTCAGCAAGTGCAGAACAGAGCCTGTGGTACAGACTGGGGTGTACCTTTCCTATTGCAGGAAAGGCAAGGAAAAGCTGTGCTGTATGGTAGCAACTGCTGCTTCATACCAATAGCTTTAGTACATTGCTACACCTGGCTCATTTCTTGGATGTTATGCACAAGGGGTCTTTATTAATCAGATCAGCTGCAGGAATGACCTGGAACATGCAGAGTATTGAAAGGTATTCTACATAACACATGAATACTTTGTGTGTCAGAGTAATTTAGACTCAGAGCTCTGTCTAAATGTTGTAACACTGCACACTTAATAACAGTCTAGTGCTAGCCAGAACATAATTACTTGCTCTCTAAAGCACAATTTGTAATAACCAATGTTGTCCTTACAACTCTGATGAGTGAGATCATCTCTGAATCTTCAGTTGAAGCGACACATCCAAGGTCAGCCATTATCTCTATGTATTCTTACTATCACAGTCTGATAGGAATTGTCTTTAATATTTATGCATAGAGCATTCATGTCCATGACTGCTCTTTAATGCCCAATAAGACTTTTGGTATTGTCTTTACTAGGCAGCAAAGGGGTTAGCTTTAGCAGGAGGCCCTTAATAAGTGAACAACAGTTGAGGTTAAAATAAAATGGTAGCATATTTTAAGTAATTTTTAATTTATTAATAATTAAATTAATTTTAATTAATTTAAATTTATAGTTCTAACAAACCTTAGATCTTTCTAAACTACAAAAGTTCTTAAATTCTGGTAATCATGCAGCTATGTCATCCTTTTGACATACTATTCCATAGAATTCCTAATGAGAATGCTGAAATAGACAGCTGAACCCTTTCAACTCCCTCAGGGGAGACTATGATGATAGTATGACTTTTAACCAATGGAAAAATGCAAACCAAATATTTGTTTATATCACATCTGATGGAAAGTATTGTTGTACAGGTGTCTTCCTCTGCTATTTCCATGGGAGGTAGTTTTTAGTTTGATTACACTTGGATGTTAATAAACATTTTATTTTGTTTCTAGTTTGGGGCTGCTTTCCATGGAATCTCTCAAGACCAGCAGTAAGTATGGTTTTTTTGTGTCCTGATGATTCTGAAGTCCTGACAGTCAAAAACGCTGCAAGTAATTCACAACCTCCTCTGGTTTTAGCTGAATTTCACTACCTGAGCCTCAGATAACCAAGCAGCAAATTTCTCTGGGTGTCACTCCAGTACTGAAATTTATCCATGTCACTATTATACAAGTTCCTTATATTTTTGGTGACTTTCTCACTTTGCATTTCAACAGTTAAAGACAAGAATTCATGTCCTTTGATTCGCAGCCTTCAGAGACATGACAGATTAAGTAAGCTCTTTAGGTGGCTCTCCAGTTTCAGGGTGAGCTGCATGACATTGACAGTGTAATTAAAACTACAATTCTGAGCTTTTTCATATTTTGTTTTCTCGCACACATTTCCATAAGCTACTTGTATTATATGAAAGGAAAGAATAATAATTTCCTGTGCTTTTTTTTTTTTTTACTGAAGATTTAACTCAACAATTGCATCAGCCTCCCTTCTGCACCTCACAATAACCAGGTAGATTTGTCAACACACGTAAGCAGGTTTTCTTATACTTTCCTGTGCTGTAGCTGTAGTCAGAGACAGCATTTTCTGGATAAAATTGGTCTAATCCAATACAGGTAGACCCAGATCTGGTTTTGATTAAGTCTTTCCACCTCCAACAGCTTTGTTTCCCCATTAATATGATGGACTTAATGTACTGGTCTCCTTTTAATGTGATACCAGATTTATAGAAGTGAAGTGCTGCTAAATAACATTTTATCATCAAGTCCTGCATCCCTGGAGCTTGGATTAAGGTGAAGTTGTTTGCTTGGTGTTCATTTGTTCTTTCTGAAATATCTATCTGCTTTGCATTTATTTTTAGAAGATGGCATGGATTTTGAGGTTCAAGGAAACGCTTCCTGCACTTGAAAGCAGCTGCCTCACTTTGTTGACCCTTTACAGCCTTAAGATGTCTTAGCTACAGGAGAATTTCTGGCATGACTCATCCTGGAATCGAAGCTCCCAGGAATATACATCAGCAGAGCAGAATTGGAAAGTAAGCAGGTTTTCCCACTTCTGACTCTATTTCTGGCTGAGGTTGAGTACCCCATGTGTCTTAGATTCCATATCTCTTAAGCTGAAGTCTCTTCTTAGAAGTTCTTGTGCCTGAGAAAACCAGGGTGAAGACTGAAGAGCCTGCAGACCTGGCCTCCAGCTGAGAGGTGCCCAGTGGGTGGGTACCAGTTGGGCTTGAAATTGCATGCATTGGGTGCTCTATGTGCTTTGTTTTAGCTGTGCTGCTTATACAGGTACAGCCTTCTGGTTTAGTCCTAAAGCTGCCGTTTTTTATCTGTGGTCAAAACAAAAGAGTAATATTTTCTGCTGTGGAAAAGTTCTTTTCTAGTAAACTAAAAATAGAGTGTAAATATTTTTAAATTGTTATTACAAATGTGGGTGAAGGAAAGCATTTAAAAATATATCGGATGAAATCTACATGGTTGGCAAAATTTGAAGCTTTGTTATTATTGAATGATTGCTGTGAGGAGTCCTACTCTTTTCCTTTAAATTTTCAAAGATAAACCACATCCACACATGAAATTATTTGAAATTGTACTTGTAGCATAGATGCTATGAAAAAAATACTGTTATTGCAAAAGCAAATAATTTGATAGTAAATTTAAATGAAGAAGAAATGGGATTTCTCCTCCTTCAAATAACCTGATTTTAATGTCAATGAAACCTTGACCAAAAAAAAATCTCCTGGAAGGGTAAAGGCTATTGAGTATTACAGAAAAGAACCACTTGAAAGTGGCCACAAAGAGCCTAAGGTGACACACAAGCACTGACAACATTGCTCCTTCTGAGTTTTATTCTGGTCACACACAGATGTACTTGCTCTGGGCAAGGTGTGTAGGATCTTACAAAGTGTGCACATGCTGTAGGCAGCCCAAATGTGACAAACATGGTTTAATGTGTTAAAATCTGGGGGTTAGCTGATTTTTTCAAGAGGTCACTTGCCCAAGGACAGCACATGTTTGTTGTTCACCTCAATCTAACCAAGAGATGCAGCTTCTTGGTCTCCTCTGTATTTCTCTCACCCTCTGTGGCCTTTAGTAGAGCCCAGTTTTGTACCTTTTTCTGACATAAGCCCCTATGCTGTATGAAATAGCCTGCAGATGTTGACTGGCAGGGAGTCTGAGAAGCAGATTCCTTTCACAAACAGACTGACCTTCACCTGGCTGAAGAGCATTATCTCAACTTTTCTTTAGTTGTGTCTAGTTCAGCAAATTGTTTTTGATGTTAGGCATGCCAGGGTGCTTGTGTTCATCAATGATTCTCTTCAGCTATTTCAGCCTGCATTGTATTGTATGTGCAATGGAAATAATCCTTTCTTCTTACTGTGAGGGTTTAGGTGAATAATTTCTCTAAAATTCTCCTATATCTATTTCATCTTTGAGGGACATGTTGATGTAACAATGAATACACACAGAGTGTCAGCAGCCTGGAGAGCAGAGTGGGACTTCAGCTCTTTGTCTTTGCTCTGGTGCTTTCTCAGGCTTCCTACAGTGTCCACAGTTCTCTGCCTTTAAAAATATCTCAGATTAGCATCTAAGAGTATTAATATCTGTACACTTAGGGGTAACATATGCAAATGTATCATATTTGAGCTGATTCTTACTCAAGAAGTAAGGGGTATGTGCACAAGAATATTTCCAAAGAATTTTTAAATTACTATTGTCCTCTGCAGACCCTAATTCCTTACGCCGTGTAGTAGCTGGCATTCCTCACCATCAGCCAACTACAGTAAATTGATTCACATACACAAACTTCATTGAAGTCTTGTTTTTCCAGTTCTTAAAAACACTTCAGCCACAACTGATGTGGTTTAGTTCATATGACTCAAACTCTAAGCACTGTTGACCACAGAGAATATTGATTACCTCGTACTAGGCTCCATGTATTTTCCAAATTCTTCCCATAGTTTACTGATGATGCAAAGGAAGTATTCTGTGCCAGTTCTGTGGCCATTGCAGAACAGCAACACAAGTAGTAGAGCAAACACTGTGAGAAGAAGCTGCTGAACTGGTTAAGAAGAGTAAGAAATATGGGCTATAGTTGGCCAGGAATTGGTTTTTAATGACAGGGAAACAGCAAATTGTGCATACCTGAGGAGAAACCAAGAATGACACAGTCCTCCATCCTCTTGTTTTGGCACACACAATTAGAAGGCAGGATACAGGTCACAGAAATGAGATACTGCTCATATTAGAATTTCAGGTGAAAATAAGAGTAATAAAATAGAATAGATAAAGGCAAGGATTCATTTCTGAGTGTAAATTTTGAAAACAGAACTAAGCAAAAGACTGATATACTCAGAGAGATTTCTCCACTGCGAAATATAACTGCATCTGGCAGCATTTCAAGTTTTCTTCTCCCACTACTCTAAGAGCATAAAGATGTTGTTATTACAAATGAGAAATACCCAACATGCCTTCTTGTGGCTTCAACTGAATATCTGAAATGAGGAAAAAATACATCTTTATTCACACTGGATTCAGTCTCAAATACAATAAAATCACTAGAAAAGTACAAGTCTGTACAGGTCTCTACTATCTTAAATTTCCTCTCTAAATGATTTTCATTAATTATTTTTATTTTTTATTGACTCTCTTTTCCCTAGAAACTCTACAGGTCCTCTTGACTAATTACAGCATTAAAACAACAACTAGAAGAGTTTCAAAGGAGCAGCTGATCAAATGATCCTTAAATGATTTCCAAAGTTAATTTAGGCCTATTGTCTAGTCTTATCTCTAGACAATTTATTTTGTGTACAAGATGTAGGACTGCTCAAGAACACAGGGTCTGAAAGAGAACTGTATTGAAAAACTACATAGACTTAAAAGCTTAACTGTCAGACCATGGTAAGAGATAACGGTAAATTGGAATAAAAAATTGTCCCACTGATTTTCCACAAAGTCTTTTATGAGAGGACTTCTACCAAAGCACTTGGTGATACCTTTGTCAGATGAAGGATGCTGGTCTAGCTGGATTTTGGCCATAGTTCTAGCAGACACAATCAGTTCTTTTACAGTTCAGTGTATTATTCCTCTTTATTAGCCATAAAAATAGGCTTTTGCTAAACAACTTTTCAGAAGTGGAGAAGAGACATTAGTATTTACCTTTTAAACCAGTCTTGATCTGCCTGTAACTTTTTCAGTTATCAAAATTCTTTAGAATATTTATAAACTCCAGAAGAAACTGGAGCTGCATTAGCTGTGCTTTTACTACATAAAACACTTTATTATCATTGTTATTTATGAAGTTTTGATGCATTGTGAAACAGTTTCATAAAGTGCCAACCTCCCACACACGGATGAAATTTGGCAAATGATTCTGTATTAAGGGTGTGTGTGTACATATATATATCTGTGTGAATAAAGATATGCAAATGCATGTAGATATTCATGTTCTAGAAACAGTTACAATTTTCATTTTCAGCCCTGCGTGGGAGGCAGTTTCCTTCCATGGAGAGGAACAACACACATCTATTGAGCAGAGAGGAGAACCCCATGATTAGCACTCAGCAGGAAATGCTGAGAGTCCAGCCTCTGCCTCTATGGTGTCTGACAGGACAATGGCAGCCTGCAGAGCCCATGTGCCCTGAGAGGACAAAGCTGGGATGCTGTTAAGCAGGCCTGTGGGTTATCCTGCATCTGCATGGGCAACAGCAAAGCAGGGTCACCCACACACTCTGCAGCTGCTGTGGTTTGCCCAGCCTGCAGCTAAGGAAATTAGGGTAAAGAGCCAAAAGTACTGGAGTGAGGTGATGGGAAAGGGTGAATTTGTGATTGGATACAGCATAGAGGGTTGTGAGAGGGGTCTGTGACAGCTACATGCTGGGTGACACTGTCCATGCCTTACTGTCCTCAGGGAACTCAGCTGACTGCCTTCCCACAGACCTGCTCTTCCTGTGTGCCACCAGGGAAGCACTGCAGTGTGTTCTACTGCTCATGGACTAGGGAAAAGCCCTGCATGCCAACAAATTACCAAGGAATCAGTGGTCAGTCTCCAGCACACTGAACCCTTCCCAGAATCTACAGGAAATCCAGGTCTCTTGTCCTTGAGTTTAGAAAAGCAGCATATTCATGCTAAAACTGCTTCTGAGGAGGCAACTTCCTTGGAGACAGCCTAACTTTTAGAAAACAAAACTAAAAATGGGCAAGACACAGGCTTAAGGAAATGTTTGTTGTGTGCCCAGAACATTGTGACATCCAATCCACTCCTGAAGTTTTATAAATATGTGTCTCGCTGTTGAAGTAGTGCAGATAGAAAAGGTTCTGCAGACTACAAAGTGAAATTTGGACTGCTATTCCCAAATTAGACTGGATGAGAATTTCCTACAGATGAGGCAGCTCAAAATGTTAGAGGGATTTCTTGCCAAATTTCTGATCCCCACCTTAAAATTTCTCTCCCAGCAATCACAAGATGATGAAGCAAGCTTCATAATAAATTAGTTTTCTCCTAAAGGCCAGAAGGAATTGTTCTTTCCTTTGCCCAGAGATAACAAACCAACACCATGTTTCCCAGTGTCACTGTGGTCTAAACTAATGCCAGCACTATCATAAATCCTGCCCTGCCATCAGTCCTGTTTCAACACAATCTGAAAGGACATAACCATTTTTTTATTACCATAAACTGAAAGAAAAAACATACTTCTGTGACAGGAAAAAAATCTTGGAATCATGTCAAAGCAGTGATGGAAGAACACAAAAAAAGAGCTAAACTGAATTTTCTATCATGGTATAAAATAAATAAGTTTTCCATTTTCTGCTGATGACCAGACATGAAAGGTATGCAGCAGCACTGCAGGTCAGGGACACTCTTCTTAGTGAGGGACAAGTACTCGCCTACCTCCACAAGCTGCCAATTCAAGGGTCCAAAACATTTTGGGCTAAAGGAGGTACATAAGGAGGAACCTGCTGATGGACATGCTGAGGGGCTTCCTTGGTCAGCTGGGGTTTTCTGAAATGCAGGAATGCCAGCCAGACCAGCACTGCAGGACTTGCTGCAACAAGGAAAAGGCTATAATAAATGATCAGTTAGATGTTACAGTGACCTTGACATACAAGGATGGAAGGAAAGATTCCAGAAACAGAGACCAAGATCCAGGTTCAGCCCAGACCTGGTGCAGGTTATATGGAGAAGCCTACTCCTGCCTCTCCTCCCCTCCCCTCCACAACACAGCACACTACTGGTTACCTCATTCTCCAGCCATCCTTATTTCAATAATATGGCAAAGTGAAAATACTTCTTTCCTTGAATACCTGTGCTATTTTGCTTTCTGGCTTCCTTTGAAGAACCACAGTAGCTGCAGAAATGCTGCATTGAGCATTCTGTTTTTTCCCCTCACACAGGATTTGTGGAGCCCAGCAGGTCTCTGTGATACACCCAGTATTATCCACAGTTCTCTACAGTTTTATAGGAAGGACCATCTGGTGGTCAGCTGCCCAAATGCACATTTTCTGCCTCCTGCACCTGTTCAGTGTCATTCAGCCTCTCTCTGACAGTTGCTCTCCCATCAGAGGTCTTCCTGAGCAAGGGGATGAGAGGATGCAGCACATCTCCTGAAACAGCAGCAGGTGCTTTTTGAGATTTCTGTTCTTAAGGAGGAATAAATCCAATTTTCTCTTCAAAATGGAGATGACAATAGGACCAGAAGGTAACCAGTTGGCTCTCTGAGCCCTTTTACTCAAATCTCTCTGCCATTTCAGAGATGGTTGTGATGCCTGCAGTCATTCACAAGTGAGCTTACACTGTACCTACCAGTCAGATGTGTACTACTGTAGCATGGTATATATCTGTGCAAACTAAGACTTGAAACCATAAAAGCTTGTTTAGGGACTGTCCTGACATACCAGAATGTCCTGACTGGACAGACTGGACCACAGCCATGTGCTCTGAAAAAAGCTGAATAACGTAACCTGACAGCTCAGTGAACTTCACAGAGGAGACCTTGAAATGAGTTTGGGTTTAAACTCCTGAAAGTATAAAGCTTTCAGGAAGACTGATGCTACATCTTACAGACATCCTTCACCCTCTTTGCATCTTTGACTTCCTACAAAAGCTGGATTTTGACAGAATAATGAGCTTAAATTTGAAACTAGAGTCAAATGCCACTGGAGAAATTCCATTTTTTTTCTTACTGTAGCTAAGATCTTCACATACAAAAATCCCCCATATTAGCAAAAGATCTTCAAAGAAAGGAAACAGAAGGAGAATCCTCTAATTTGTGATTAACATTATGATGTGCCCTGTTATTACTACAGAGAAACAAAGGGTACAAGCTATCAAAAAAAAAAAAACACTTCAAGGATGGCAAAAAGTAAAAGTGAAATGAAATAATATGCAATTTAAAAATAAGAGAGCTATAGTTGTCATTATCAGGCTGAAAACAAAAGCCAGGAGAATGAAACAATATGTCTGCTAGACCAAACAGCTACTGCAGACTTGTCTCAAGAAAATCATCTGGGAAAAAATCTGTCTCAAGATCACACATACACACTGCAGAACTTGTAAGTGAAAACTCTGGGGTAAAATGTAAACCAAAAGCAGGATACTCCCTGAGCTAAGCAACACTTGCTTGTCTGTCTTTTAAGACATGGTGAAATTTTCCCCAGCTTTCAAATGGTAGCTGGAAACACATCATCCTTTGTTCTTTAGCCTCTCACAAGGAAGTCACACAGACTAAAGGTTTGCTGAGCAAATATATGACTTTTTCCTAGTCTGCCAATTTTATTTTGATGCTAAGTCCCTCTCAGCAGCACGTCGCATAAAATTGCTTAGTTGTTAGCCTGACACACTTCACCCTTACTAGGGAAAACATCCCACTGATTTGTAGGTTTGAGACACTTGTTGTCACCTGAGTGTAAGTTATTGAGTGTTACCCTCCTGGCTGTATCATGCTGTAGGCATTTGCTTGGGAGGTGGATAGGCAGAAGGAATTTAAAGAACTAGCTTCAGCCTTTTCCCTCTCATTTAAGACAATGTAACTCCCTTTTACAAGGTGTCTAAGAGCTGGCCCTGGACATCCCCTTTCCTGCCACCAGTGTTTGGGAAGGGTGCAGGCAGCAAAAGCACTGCAGGTCCTGTTGCCTCACTGCAGCCCTCCCCCTCTGAGGCAATGAGTAGTTCACACTCATGTTCAGGGACACCCTGGCTTCCCTTGTCACCACCAGGGCACTGACACCTAATACATCTTGCTTAGGACAGCTGTTCAGGCAGCCTTTAAAGTCAGTAGGGAGGATGCCCTTAAAACACCCCCATTCAGCACCTGTAATGAAAAACTCCCCCCATACTGAGACAAGACTAACTTTCAGAGGCATCTCCCTGAACTACAACTAGGAAGGAAGCACAGATGGCTACATAAGTCACTGAAGTTTAAAACAATCAGTTAGGAGAGTGTAAGTTATAGTTCAATATCTGGCTTCTAGAATTAACCTGATCACCACTGCATAGCTCACCTGACTTTTGTCAGGGGCTAACATTTGAGAATTACAGCTGTGTTTTGATAGGCCATGGGTGTCAGCTTTAATATAAATTAATGTATTAAATAAGGACCTTAAAAAGCTTCTTTGAACACTCTCATCCTAAAAATGGCAACATTAAGATATGTGATTTTTTTTAAAGGCACAAGGCTGTAGCTGACTGGGAGATTTAATGCCTAGAGAATGCATGTCAAAGACTTTCCTGCTGCAAGCTTTAATTGGCACTTCTGATGCTATTTGAGGGAAAAAAAATTCCATTCTCACAGCAAAAAAATGCAAGAGATGCTGAGTATTTCTGAAGAAAATGCATATGGTCAAAATCATTCCGCAGCTTGGTTTCCAAAGGATGGGAGGCCAATATCTGCACTGCCCCCGCACTTCAAAAGTCAGTAACTCCAACCTATTCTGAAAAGGTGTCAAGGAGAGACTTAATTTAAGTGGCTGGGAAAGAGGTCCAAATAATTCCTCTCAGGGGGAAAAGATGGTCAGAAAGATGCCCCTGGCCGAGTGGAGATAATGTCAATCAACACAGGAACATGGAGAAAGATGCTCAATCTGCAAGGGGTGTCATTGACTGCCCTCAGAGCAGTCATTTTAAATAGAGCTGTTTTCTCAGGGTTTGCCATTTTGTAACTAAGATTCAACTTCTACTGGGACACCCTTTCTGCAACAAAAGTGTTTTAGAAGGTTACACGTCACAACCCCTAAACAAGCAGCAGTTTTGGAGCTGGAAGAGGGAGCACAGCCATACCCACATTAGAATGTAGCCTGCACATCTCAGCTGGTCTGATACGAAACTAAGCACAGGTATTTTATATTGCATTTTACAAAAGCAAGGAAGTGACCACTAATGTGCATGGTTCTGATCTCCATCAGCACATGGAAACACATTTCAAACCATTTCCTTGTGTTCTGATATATTTGATCCCGTGTTATACCTTGATACTCATGAACAATTACAAAAACACAGAACTACCAAAACTGCTTCTCTTAGAAATGACTGCAGTATTCCTCCTCTTCCTGACATTTCAGAACAAGATGGTGCGGTGCTTTTTTCAATAAGAACACCAAAATAAGGGTCATAAAGAGACATTTAATTTATCTGTCACTACAGACCACTGGAATTTGTCACCATTTATTGCAGTCAACTGAAAATGTAGTGAAGATTTATAACAACATTCTATGGTGCTTTACAAACATATGCTACCATCACTGGTAATTTTACTGTGATTCTATTATGAATCCTGTGTTTCAATTAAATAAAATAACACTGAAATACATACTTTCTAAACAAGGTAATATATAGCAAATATTTTCTTTAACTGTAAATTGAAACTTCATGTATTTTGAAATAAAGTAATTATGGTGCAATTCCTTCAAACAATAAAGACTTCATAATTTTAATAATGTACCAAATGTATCTATGCCAAGTAGCAGAAACAGGTTTAAAAGAGAAAACCTACTGCAAAGACACAAAATACAGATTTTTATTAAAGAAAATGAAACAGAGCAGCAAACATCCTGCAGTACTGCAAGAATTTGCTTACACACACGTAACAATTTTCCTTTGTCTCACAGAAAGTTAACAGAAGATGTTAGGATGCAGCCCCTGCTGCTCTTCACTGTTTATACTAACATAAAGAGCTAAAAAAAAAAAAATCAATCAGTATTTATGATAAAACCATATCTATGGCTGATCTAATAGCTAATGCCCCAAGCCACTTTCTTACCCTAATGCTAAATTCCAGTGAATTGCTAATAGTAATTATCTGGGAAGAGCAGGAAGACAGCTCTGAAAAAGTGCTGAAGTGCTGCTTTCCTAACTGCTGGCACTGCAAGAAAACAAAGAGAAATGATTGTTTATACCCTACAATATCATTGTATCATTTATTGCACTCAATCCCTGATCATTTTTGACAGGTACCACAAGAGATTTTGCAGCACCATAGGATTTTGTGCTTAACTGTTACTGGAGCCCAGGGCTCCTCTTTTTGGTAAATGCCAGATTGCCAGACAATGTAAGAGGGCCCCTTGGCATTCTTTGACTCTTACATATTATTTTGCTTATATATTCAGTTTCCTATGGCTTATTGACACATTCCATAAACAAGTTAAGCAAATATTTGGTTACCGGCACCAGCCTGGGAGGTGGTAAAAAAGGCTTGAAGTTGCTCAAGACTGAAGGGGTATCCTCTATTTCCCATGCACCAACTCCTTTTCAGCTATTTATAACATGGGTTAAAAACAGCCTTTTTATTTTAGGAAAAAAATTTCTTCAACGAAAGGGCTGTCAAGCTTAAAACAGACTGCCCAGGGAAGCGACTGAGTCACCATCCCTGGAGGTATTTAAAAGATGTGTAGATGTGGCACTCAAGAACATGATTTAGTGGCAGACTTGGCAGTGGTTGGACTTGATGATCTTACAGGTCTATTTCAACCTAAATTATTCTGTGATTCTGTTTTTTGAGGAAAAGCAAAATCCCTACCTATATGAGACACTCTGTCCTATTGTTCCAGATGC